TTTGAGGGGTGAATCTGAATAGCGCGTTATTATTATTAGTAAAATTTTTGATTGATCGTTATTATTATCACATGATATCAAAATTTGTGGCGACGCTTGTGATGTTTGTGGCTACTTTGTCGATCTGCAGCAGCTGTGACACAGAATCTGCTCCGCTTTAGCCCCTACCCCTATATATGGTAAACAAGATTTTTTCAGCTCGTATCTCAGTACCTCAGCACCTCAGAATAGTAACAGTGTGCACAAATATGATCGTGATACAATCACGTGAAACCGACTTATTTGACCCACTTACAGCTTATTATTATTGCGACTTTACAGACTTATCGAGAGATTTTAAATATTGAGAAAAAGGGCTTGTGTGAAGAAACCCACTTGCATTAGACAGCAAAGTGTCGATAGTATTTTAAGATTTCTTAGACAAGAAACTGCGACATTAATTACCGACTTGTATTTGAAGTTAGAGAGTTACGCCGAATGATTGAAATACAAAGTAAGCAACAATTACATATTGACAGTTTTCGCACCTCAAAGCGAAATGTCATAATCAGATGTAGAGGTGACTATTTCGTGTACGTTACGATAAAACAATTTAAAGACTTACAGTCAGTTGTAAGCCGAATTATTATTGAATTCAATAACAAGTTCAAATTATGGTCGTTAATCCAAAGATGCCGTTAAACCTCGGTCCCGTTGACTTTGGATTAACGAGGATGTTGACTATGTGTATAAGTATATAAACTACTCCAGATATTTGTCAATTTCTAAGCCGTAATGCAAAAAACTAGTAAGAAATTAATCACAAAACGTAATTGCATATTTCTATGGTTATTTACCTCACGTTCTTCGAGTCTTTTGACAAAACACTCTTATTGTACTGAAACTGGTATTGTAATCCAAACTGTGCAGCTGTTCTGAGAGTTCTATTACAAATTTTTGAAATTCTTCGGGTGTCATTCCCCAATACTGTGACAACGACTGACTGGTGATGGCGGTATACTGAATAATAAAATTTGCCCAAATTTCCCCATCTCTTCCTCCCCATGTGCCCATTGCATGCCAAACTTCTTGAAACGTGACATTCAAACAGTGTGGATGTGATTTGAATAGAGTTTCCACCCCATAAGCCATATCCACCCAAGCCCCATTCTTTTCGAGTAGCACGCGACCTAATGAAATAACAGTTTGTATGATTTCGAATAGAGGTATGCTACTTGTTTAGTTTGTGCGCTTCGATATGCACTCTCCTGTTTCAACATCATTCTAAGCTTACCTGCGTCCCATGCTTTTTCCAGATTGGGTGCTGGATTGAGCAGAACTAGTCCACTTTCCATCGTTTCAATCCACCCACCGGGTTTAGTGACTCTCATTATTTCATCTAACAATTTGGTTTGCCAATCAGTCTTGGTGAACGATCTGTTCAAAAATCTTAAATAAATAAGGCCAAAAAAATTGTCCTCAAACGGGAGACCTTTGAGTACGTCAGCAGTTATAAATTCTGCATTCATTGGTTTGATTTGTGAGGGAAAGGCTGGCAATATATCAATTCCATAGAAAGTGGATTTCGAATAGATAGTAGCCATATCAAGTACCCAGGTACCTAATGTAATAATAAATGACGAACGATCGATCAGATAATGTTGGTGGAGCTCTGTGGATGTTCGCTCTCGAATGTGTGCCCACCTGTGCCACAGCTACAAACGTAAGTAGACATCGATAATTTATTAGACTTTTTTGCGGACAACAATCTAATATTTGACAATGTGGCTTACCCAATATCCAAAACGTTTATTCCTGATTCTAGTGCTTTGTGAACAGGAGCTGAGAAGTTTGCCTGTATATGTAATATATTAATGTCAGTAATGAGGCTAACCCATTCACATATGCAATGTGTACAGTATTTACTATTCCATTGTGGCATTGTTCCCTCCATTTCCCACTTTTACTGACTTTCCAAATATGTTTGAACATATAATGTAACATATTGTAATTGTCCATTAAGAAATTATCATCGGGATCAAGTACTTTTGAAAGCATATCGGTATTGGATGATGATGTAGAAGATGATGTTGTGCTCGAATCGATATCTAAATTGGGTTTAATCTTTTTTTTTCTTAGTATGAACAATGTGCCAATGTGATTACCCATCTTTGTCGAGATTAGAGATGTTTTTAACGGGGATTGAGAGGATGGTAAAAGCCGAACGATAGATTTCGGGATAACTCAATGAGGTGTTTATATACCTTGTAAACAACAACAAATAATATAACCATGCCATGTTGTGTACGTGCACGTCAAGAATGTAATATTACAATGAATACAACCAATAATTTAATGTGATTACAAAAATGTATATTTTCAAAAACTCCATCATCCTGAATTATCTCTGCATCCAATCACAAGAATCGTTGATTAGTAAGAAAGGTAACCCCCGTTATAAATCGTTACACAATAAATTTGTCATCGATTACGCAAGCATAAACATCAATTGTCTGATTGCCAGATCCGTGCGTGATTGCTACACTAATCGAAAGAGAATTTTAAACTGTTTTTTTTTTATCAACCACCAATAAACATGATCTTGTATTACTTAAAATAAAACACCGCAATTTCGATATAATGCAAAATAAATGACTATCTGACATAGATGTGTTGCTGAACTTGTTGTATATGCTTACCATTTGCTGATGACCGGTTGGTTCGATACTGTTTCACAACACTATACATTTGATGATGGAAAATTTGGGTTATAATTAGCCATTAACACATGTATATTACGAATTTACAACTGTCTAATTCCTAACTTCAAATTGATCCAAAGTTTGTGTGGTATAATTTACGTTGCCGCTGCAAGACGGGGTAACTTGCGGAGAAAGTATAATCCAAACGACTTGTTTATTATTTTGTTACTAAGAAACTTAAGAATTTACATTAATTGTACCGTTTAGATACGGTCAACGTTATTAAGTAATTTAACTATAAACTTTTTGCAACGTGAAAAAAAAGGTCTGTAATGTCCTGCATTAGACTTTTCTTCACTAAACGTTGATATTATATTAATTGTTACATATTAAATTAAACTTGCTCATAAAAATTACCGGACCGCTTTCTAACATTACCCCATAGCTCCAAAAAATAAAAAAAATACAATGCTTAACGATGAATGAACTATATCAAATCCGCTAGGATAGCGATTTAATGGTTTATCAACTATGACGAAAAAACTGTCTCAACTGAAACACTGATATTCATTATCAGATAAACAATTGTAAAGACCACCATACGAATAGCGGCTACACGTGTAATGTTGTGTGTTTTATCCAAAGTCTCTTTACCAACATTCGCCGTCAAGTAAGAACTTATCTCCTGTGGATTATTGACAGTTTTTTTGTCATCACTTGAATTGTTGCTAAAATTTGCGGAAGACGACAAGAAAGTTATAGATGGGTAACTTTGTAATCCGAACATTTCCAAACGGTTATCCAGATTATCTTTGACGGTGTAACCATCTGATAGGCTTTTGGATAATCTTACAGTTGTTTCCGTATTTTCGATGGGGGTTGAATGCTGTTGGAAGAGTGATTTGCCCTTATATAGCTGTTGTATTACTACTATTGTCGAATGAACACAGAAATAAGTGCCCAGAACAGTTATGAGCAGATTGTGGCCGTTATAACCTATTAGACGAACCCATATTGGATCAACTATGTCACTGTTTTATGTTTTCAAAGCGAGAATTGTGAGGTAAATAAATTGGTTTGCTGACTTGTAAAACATCACACGCACCCAATTAAGTACATACCAACGAAAATCTCTCGCTTTAACAGCTCTTTCTTTAATGCTAACAACCGACACCAGTATGGTTCCAACAATGGGATAGACGGTTAGAAATATATAGTAATGGCGATGTAGGCGTGAATCGTTTATCTCATGCTGTTTACAGAGGACGAGGAGACGATAAAGTTTGATTGTAAAAACCAGTGCCCAAGCGATTGATGCGAAGGATGCATATTGAGACTAGAAGTAAAGAAAAAAAAATATGTTATTTGTAAAGTAATAAATATGATAGCTTACACTATACATAGACTAATAACTTGCGCAGCACATTGTTTATTTTATTATAGCAAATTTTATCCATTATGTTTCTAAAACTCACCGCTAAGGCCTGAAAGTAGCAAACAGCCAATGGAGCTCTATTCCAATCAAAATTATAGGCATACCCTAAGAGCATTAGAGAATTCATAAATATAAAAACGATGGTAATGTAGAGGTTTATTAGATTTTTTCGGGTCATAGAAAAGATTAATGCCATGTATATGGCAACTATAAGGGAAATAGTATTGAGTAGGTATAGGATTTTTACTGTTATGTGGACCATCGAACAGAAAATCTAGTCGTTGTAATAGAAAAATTAATATTAATGCTGGATATAATTATTAATTTGAAGCACCATTTACAGTTATATTATTTAAAAACTTAGAAAAAGACTGATGACGTCCAGAAATAATAAACGTTAAAAGATATTTATATAAGGTAGACAACGTTAGGGTATTAGCAAAGAAAAATGAGAAACGGTTCTATTTATTATCATCAACAAAGCTTAAATGTAGTTAGTTTGGACATAATCTCGATGGCTATGCAATGTTTCGGGTGTCTTACGTCCCGGACATCAGTCTTGTGGTGCGTCTAAAAATGGTGGTCCCAATAAGACGTATTGGGAAATAACATAAACCATCGGCGTTAAAAGTGCCATGTTATAGTTATATTTTGTGTTACGACTTGGAGCAAAATTATGGTTCGTAAGCCGAATTCTAACTTTAATCAATTAAACGTACACAATATCACATACTTTCCGGGTTTAGTGTAAGCTGACGAAAAGATCCAAAGTTACACAAAATATGCAGACATATGGTCAGAACAATGGGTGACGAGAACAATAATGTTTGATAAAACTATTGGAATCTTTGTGTTTACCTGTATATATGATGGCTATACAAGTCAATAATAAGCCGCGACCATATCCAATAAACTGTCTGTGTATACTTTGCTGACACTTGAAACGCAGTTTCCGTCCCGTTATACAAACATCTTGCAACGCCGGTAATAGTGCCTCAAAGAATTCAAACAAGAATAATACTTTTTTAAATAGTAGCAAAACTGTCGTGATATTTGCGCAATTTAACGCTAACTATATAAACTAACTCGCGATCGGGTAAGTTGCCTAATTTGACTTAAACAGTAAATGATGTTTATAAAGTTTGAGCGATAGATGTTTCACTCCTAATATGACTAGGCGCAATCAATCCAAGATTAGATCAAGGGCCTTTGTCGTACGCTTTTATGTGCTTATCAAAGTCAATGTTTCGCGATCGATATCGACGTCCAAGGTAGAAAAAGTAATCTTTAGATAGATGTAAACTCTACATCCAAACAATTTCGATGCGTATTTTTTGCCTCACCACGCTGCGTTTACAAAAGACTATAAGACTAATTATATACAGTATGTTTCCAAAATTGGCAATCGAACTTCTGATGATTTAATGATGTTTTGTAGTAGGTGTCCGAATATCGTAGTCATGCGATGATACAGTACTCCGTGCTAAATGCTTGTTAATATGGCTCATAAGCTTTTATCACCAATCTATAATGTTTTGACGATAATGCTCCCCAGGATAAATCGGAACCCCCGCTAATAGGAAAGATATTCAAAGAAAATCGCTGTATGATTTAATCTGTACTACATTAAATTGCGTGTTGATCGATAATCCAATAATTCAATAGGTAGATAGGATATACATTTTTGGCAGAGTCACAGCAAACTCACTACCCAAAGTGTAAGCAAACTTCTTTTTTACTGTACACCCATAAGATTAGCTTAATGCGCAATTTACCTATAGTTTCAGCATAAGTAGCTAGCCAACATATTTTTATTACCAGGCCTCGCAGTACGCATTGTTTTTTGTCATAACTTTAGTAAAAAACAGATAGTTTACAGTAGTAATAACTAGGTGGTAGCTATCGTATATAGATAGGCTATACATTAACAAACCAACACTTGCATTCGATTCTAGTAACGTTCAATTAAGGAAGTTACAAAACTTTCCAGTTCGGATCCGTCTCAGTTCTGGACTATCATATACTTCCAGCTCCATCGCTATTAAACAAGCTTTCGTAATTATTGCAATATTGGGTTAGTATCTGTTGATGCTACAATTAGGCTTATGTGTAATAAAACTTTGTTTTATTGATAAACGGTTCGGTAGATGGCATACAGCGACAACATTAAAGTTTAATTGTTAACATGCATGCTTGTTAAAAAGCGCTGCCTTAGAATGTATTTGTAGATAAAATAATGGTTACTACAATTATTAAATGTCGTAATCTTAAACAAAAAGGTTTGACATTAGACTCAGTAAACATTACAAAGGCAAGAATCAGAAAGGAGGTAATCAATAATGCCCTGTCTTATTATATAACTATAAAGCTAATCGAATATTAATTGCATCGGCGTGCAAAGATATCAGAATTTAGCAAATAAAATTAAACCACAACGAATATACTGTACGACGCATTATACGTTAATGTGCATTGAATAATTGGTTCTCAAACACATAGTTTGCCATCACACGATTCATAATCTTCATGTTATTCTATTATACAAAACATATGCGTTGAAATATTGAACTTGACTCATTCACAATTTATGATTATTAACGTTGACAGTTTACGAGTTAGATAGTAAATGTAGTCGTTGTTGTCACTGCATTGTAAACCTAATCGATACGATGATTGCTTAGAATTATAACTAAAAAGTATTTGATGTTTGCAAACTGGTGTTTACGTCTGATGCTTGTATTATAGTGTGAACGTTTGTGTAATCATATGCTTTTGCGACTAGACTGTAAATATAGCCCATTAATATAATGGTTTTGCATTATTCTAACCGCGCGGAAATTTACTGATACAGATCTTGACATTACGGTGGTAGATAGTAATATATTTTTGTCTTTTTATTAGAATGTGAATATGTCTATTAAAGATAATTTTACATACGGTTGGATTGTATGTTGACTAAGATACAATACTGCTTGTGCCAAACATAAAAAGTAATTTGCCAAGATATAGAAAAACGTTGACGACTAAATAACAAGAATTGATAAGCACCGTCACTTTCAATATTTAAGACAATTTATTCTCTTGTTGTAAAATAAAAAAGCATCCAAATTATGACATAGTTATTGAATGAAGCGCTTTATTTTTTCCAAAAACGGAGCAAAAAACAGACAAAAATAATATCGTATAAGTTGCTAAAAATTGATAAACAAATATCAAATGCTAAATTTTTCTGTTTTGAATAATTCGGTAGTTGGCAGAAATTTAAAGGTGTAAACAAGATTAAATTGTGCAACTCAAAAATTGTCTTACGGCTGACCACTAAAATATTTGCTGTAATCTTGCGACTCCTAAAATTCTCTCCGTAGCAGCAAACTCATCTACGACAAAGCAACAGTCGGTATTGGCATCGAGCTTCGGTAGAGGTTTGTTGATAGTCGTGGCGATCGGTGTGTCAAAAGACTCACCATCCAAGTCGATAATGGCAGGGTCTCCAGGTTCGGCGCTGGTTTTTGTGCTACACCGAGCCACGTGAAGATCGTAGATGAGTTCAATTCCACCCACGCCATCGAGATCAATAAAGCCGCCAATAAATAATTTCTTGTCATTAAACCGCGTAAATTCGAGAATACCGTTAATTGTGTTGCGATTGTAACCAGCCCTCAAACCAGATGGAATACCGGTCGCCTTAGTAGGCAAGTTCAAGGGATTTTCTCCTACTTTAAACACACATCTATGAAGAGACGTTGCATTGGCTGGCGTGGAGTCGGTAAAGATTAGAACAGCTAAGAGGAAAAAAATATATAATGATTTCATTTTTGAATTAAAGTTTCTGTGAGCTTGCGAGTTAACTGTTCAATCGTTGAAAACGCAAGAGAGTGGAACTCAGAACGCAGGCATTTTATAGTTTTTGAACAAAACTGCGCTGAGCGTAAAGAATCTTATCAGGAAGAACAATTATTGGGAAATGCACTTCACAATCTTTGTGTCGAGTACATTTTTGACAAACGTAATAAAAGTGTATGGTAATAGAAAGGTTGTAGTTTTGATGCACAATGATTTAATACAATAGGGGTTAAAAATAACTTACATTGATGTAATGCAAACACAATAATTTACTAACACAATATTAAGTTATGCCCAATAAACATAGTAAAAGTGACTAGTAATAAAAAGGTCGCAGTTTTTGATGCACAATGATTCACTGTTAAAAATAGCTCCATTTATAAATGCCTCTTTAAGGTTGAACAACAAGCTTACGTGCAATTAACAAAGTAATTATTACTAAAATTGTTGCGCAATGGGAAGTCTTTTCCATTATTGGCATACGGGTGTGCTATTCACAGATACATAGTTGCGGTTCTAAGAACAAAACTTTCCTTAGACTTTATGAAAACGTGTCAAAAATAGCTTTTGTAAGCTGTCACAAAAGAACAGCACGTTGAGGTTTAAAACTCGTGTCGTAATAATCTTACATAATATCGGTACTTATACGTCAATACACATATGATATGCTTTAGAAATAAATTTTTGGATTGATTGGGGGTTTTTTTTGGTAATTATAGTCGGCAGATGTGATAGACATAAATTGTTTTGTAAAAAACTTCAGCTAATAGTAACGTAGTAGTAGCACAATCACAATTATGGTAACAGCACACGACAATGAATAGATTGTCTCGGCTCAGTGATGACGCACGTCTGCGATTATGGTAATTACAACAATAAAACTAACAATCATGACAGTTATGGTGAAGCGGAAATCATTACAAATAAAAATAGGAAAAATCGGTATAACGCAGCTACTGTAACGATAACTTGTACTTCCTATGGCTTACCTTGTATCAATTATTGTTATTGTTTTGATAAAGCCGAAGATGTATAGCCATACATAGATGCTGTCTCAATGGCACGGAGTGTTCCTGGTGTAAATAGTCAGATTTTGCTATTCATAAATTTGTTTCGGAATTATTTGATTGGTTACAATTGGTTTGCATAGTTAATGGAACGTCATATTTGTTATTGGTGACATAATATATATCGGAATCTCAATCCCGACAGGTTCTTGTGCACCATTCGTTTTTGTTCTATTGTCAGTATATGCAATATAATGGACGCAAAAAGTTGTTTATATTATACTTGAGCCATCCATTTATGGTAGTCTGGGTTTTTACTTTCTATTCCGTATCAACACATTTTGAAACATATGACAATCTGGTTTAATATGGGATAGCAGGCATCTATAACATTTAAATATGTCTTTTGTATAGTTATATGTAATAGCGGTCTACAGCATGTCAAACCTAACTCGCGCTTCAGGCTTATTTGCCCACAAAGTGTGATAACTGAATTAGAGCAGGCAGAAACGCTATGAGCTTAACGTAATGATATAATAACATATTAACTAGATTTACTCAGACAGAAAATGCCAAACTTGTGGCCGAGAATGCTGAGCTTAAGCACGAAAACTCAAAACTGAAACAGATTATAGAAGAAATGCTGATTTAAAGCCAAAATCATGAAAGTGGGACGAACCGTTAATAAATTGAGAAACAAAATCAGACTCTTACTGATATCTCGCAGTTCCAGTTTGTTCATCATTGCCAATAATATTCCAATTATCTTCCCCATTACCTATCGAGGACCACTCTGATAAGGAATATAGCCCCTCAGTGTAAATCAGCTAGAAACTGAGCCCATATCACCAGAAAATAAGGTGGTCGATGAATTCGTGGATTCAATGTATAAGGAACAGGTTAGTAATGATATAATGCAGAGCATTAGAGGAAAAAAAACTTCGAGATCAAGAGCTACCCTCAACTTCTGAGAATAATATTTGCCGTAAGTAAAGTCTAATACAAGAAAAATGCCATCACAAATCGTGACAATCGACAAAAAAACTTTGATATTAATATAGAAACGAAAGAACATTTATCGCAAGAAAGTCCAGGGAGCAAGTCTCCAAATTATAACATTTCTGATTCTGAGCTCGAAAATGAAATTAAAGATTTTATATCTATTACTATTCGCAAACCCACAGTTAAAAATTCTGTTGCTAATAATAATGTATAAATCGCAAGATATACTATTACTTTTTTTTTGCTCATGACAGAAATCTGACACCGTCGTCATAATCTAGACTAAGTGAAGTGGAAATAACATAAAATTAGTTATTTCCACTACTCGCGTTGTAATAGAATTGAGTAAAATTTTAAGTAACTTTGCAGGTAAGTAGACAATAACAATAAGTTTTTAAAGTCAAACGTCCAATTTTCAGGAAAATATAATAAAATATTTATGCTAATAAGATATAGTACAGTAGGTTTGCCTAGATGTATAATCATTTTTATACTTTGTTGAGCGCTTGCTTTTTTTATTTTCAGTTAACTCAGCAAAGGCAAATTATACCTAACCAATAACATCAGAATAACTATATATCCCGCGTTAATTTCACTTTTTAGGTCAAAGATTTGTTTATTCGACTCGTATGGGCATATAGTGTTTACAAACATAGTATTTGATTGAAGAAGGAAGCTCTGAACAAACCCGTAATCACAAGTTTATTCAAAAACTTTGTGTCACTAAATCACAAGACAATTGATAACGTTAATATCATAGAATGACTGTATTTACACCAGCAAGTAACTAGTTGTTTGTCTTCATACCTGCAGCTGAATCTAAATCATAACTATTTCTCGGTTTAGGCAAATCTCCAGTATGTAAGAGTTTACTAGAGTATTTACTCTCCTTTTCAAAACGTGATAACGGCTTTACATCATTATGATATATAGTATTCCACACGTTGTCACTATATTTAGCCTTTCCTATTTCTTCAATAAGCTTGTTAATGTCACCAAAAAGTGTAAATGCATCAGGACGCTTATCAGGATCAGCATCACAACACCGCTCGGCAAATTTCTTGTATTCCTCTGGCGCAGAATCA